TTCATGACTATGTGATGTGCCAGCTAGTGGGCAGTGTGCAGCTGTGGGACAGCGGTGCAGCTGTGGGGCAGGGTCCAGCTGTGGAGAATGGACAACCATGGCTCAAAGCCCAACACCAAGGTTCCTCCGCCTCCTCCTCCTCCGCGCCGCCCGCCGCCGCCGAGGCGCATTCCAGGCACATCATGCCGGCCGGGATCGGGGCGGCGGGGGGCGCGGGGGGCGCGGGGCCCAGCTTGGGCCCACTCAGTGCGTGTATGCGCCGCGAAGCCCCCGCTGCACCATCCCGGCCCGGCCCGGTTGGCTGCTGCACTTCAGAGCCGGCTGCAGCGCTGCCGCTGTTCAGCCGACGCGCCGCTGTCGCGGCCCCGAAGTCTCTGACAGCTGCGTCCCGGCCCGCCTACCACGCCAGCGCCCAATCAGCTCCACCATCGGGACACAGCCCCGCCCTGCACGTGCAGCCCGGGAGGGGGGCGAGGGGCGGGCCGCAGAGCCCCTCCTGCCCGACGGGGGCGCAGTCACGCCGGAGCCGCACGGCCGGCGGAGGCCAGATAGGACCTGGGGGGAGGGAGGGGGTTGTGGGGAGTTTCGGAACGAGGAGAGGGGTGCCGGAAGCTGTACTCCGCAGCACTTACTCAATGCCCTCCCTCCGTGCATCCTACCTCCGTGAACGGGTTCTTAGCAGACACAGAGCAAGAGGGCTGGGGGCTTCGAACTCGCGGCATGCATTTGGACACCCTGGACAGAGGATGGCAAACGCTGTAAGTCAGGTCACTAGAGGGAGAACCCATGGCAGCTCGGGCAGCTCAGCATCCACCTAATTTAATCAGTTCAGGGAGGACTGAGTAAGAATGGAGAAGCCGACCTGTGGGGAGGTGGCCCAGGTCACCTTCGCATCTCCCAGGGAAGCCCAGGTCCAACCTCCCATCTCCCAGGGAAGCCCAGGTCCAACCTCCCATCTCCCAGGGAAGCCCAGGTCCAACCTCCCATCTCTCCTGCGCACCCACAGAGACGTCCCCCAATGCCAAAGAGAGGCAGCCCCTGGCAGTGAGAGCCAGGCCTCTGATGGGGGCCCTCCAGAAAAGGGGCACCAGGAAAGGACCTCCTGTCCTACAAGTAGGGTACCCCCTACTTGTAGGGGGTGATTTTCGACTGTGTGTTAGGGACGTGGCAACGCTCTAAGTGGAAGACAGAGCTGGGTCCCAGCACAGCCCTGCCTGTGTGGGGCATGGCCATGGACAGTTTCTCTACAGGTAAACAGGAGAACAAGATTCAGACAGTCTGGAGGTCTGGGCAGTGTACCAGTGCTGGGGGTCTGGGAGTCCTGTCTTCTATGGAAGGTGGTGAGCTAGGGTCTGTTCAGCAGCACAGTCACCACTCACACGATTAAGTGTAAAGAAGTGCTGTGGTCCTATAAACCACCCACACACCACCCTTCCCATTCATAAGTTTGGGGCTTTGGTTGAAATCAAATTCTCGAACAAAGTGCTAAAGTCAGAATGTTAGATCTAGAAAGGGCCTAGGAAACCAGAATGATCCCCTGTGTTTCGCAGGCAGGACCCAGAAAGGTCCCCACTGTGATCATGCAGCAAGTCAGCAGCAGGGTTTGTGCTGACCCAGGGCTCTGGTGCCATCTCCCTGGGCTGAGGGCTCAGTGCCCCCTATGTGCTGTTCATAGGGGTCCATAGGCAGATGCACCTGGTGAAGGTATCTATGAGTCATGGTATAGCCAATCGGTGATGCAGCACAAGGCACACCCCCAGCCACCCACCCCACTGTCTCCTGTGAGCAGAGTTAATCCCCAAGCTGGTGTTTCTTGGCACCTTCGAGGTGTATTTTAAATTCTGCGAAGTGACTAAAAATATGCTTCAGCGTGTTGGGTATGAATGACTGTGATGGGAGGGTTGGGAAAACAGATTTCATTCTGAAAGTTGCGTTGCTGCCTCTTTCCAGCTTGCTGAGCTCAGGCCTGCAAAGCCAGATAGAAAAGTTCTGCAGGGTGCTGAGATGACAGGTGACTAACAGGACAGACCCAGGAGCTCCGTGGGGGCTAACCTTCATGACTATGTGATGTGCCAGCTAGTGGGCAGTGTGCAGCTGTGGGACAGCGTGCAGCTGTGGGGCAGGGTCCAGCTGTGGAGAATGGACAACCATGGCTCAAAGCCCAACACCAAGATTCCTTCCTTCTCCCCCAAATACCTCATTCTTTCCATCACACCCATGCTCAGTGAGGTAGTTTTAGCCCTTGACCAGAAAAGAGAACTTTTTTTTTTTCCATGGCATTTCCTTTCCATCTCTGAATAGGCTCGGGAGCAAAGAAAGAGGACAGAGTTTTGTGCCTTTAAAATTTGAGGAGCATCTGAGCTGCCATCATGCAAGCTGCCACCATTTCCACTGTGTGGGTTTTGTTGGGATTTAACTCAAAGGCATTCTCTGGAGCAAGTTTTTGAGAGATATTATGGGCCATGAAGGGCAGGATGATGGAAAGGATAATAAGCCCTCTCTGGTTATGTGGCCCCAGGGAAAATCACAATGGCCTCCTGAGCCTCTGGGAGTATCATGAGACAATCAGCCACAAGACTCATCTGGTTCTTATCTCCATCCCACTGATGAAGAAACTGAGACCCAGGGAGAGAAGTAATCTTCCCAAGGTCATATACCTACTAAATGATGGGGTTTGCACTAAACTCAGGTGTGTCTACACATTAATCCAGTGCTTCCTCTACTGTTCCACAATGCTGCTCTTAGCTTCTCCAGTTTCATCATTGACATAATGGGGTGCTAACTCAGTGATGACTAAAGAGCCATCTGATACTCATTCGGTAGATCTAGACCATCATTTCAAAATAAATGGGGCACTGGATACTAGTGACCAGTGTTCCCAGGGCAAATATACCCAGGGAGTGGTAGGGGTAAACACAATGAAGTATGTTTCCTTACTGAGGGAATTTTCAGAGTCTTTAAACTGAGAACATACACTGTAAGTCTCCTGGGGGAGGTGTAGGCTGCCACGTTCCCATGTGTACTCAACCACAGAACATCTTGAAAGATAACTAGAGCTCTACAGAACACACTCTGAGAAACACTGTCTTTCCCTAGGCTGATAATAGGAACTCAGTACATGCCCCATCGGCCTAACCCCCACCCTGGGCTGTCTCCAAGTTACAGACCTCAGTATCTTCCCTAATTATTCATCACACCCACCCTCAGCAGTTTCTCACCCATGCTTGAGCTTTCAAAATTGTGTGTCCATGACCCCAACCTCCATCTCCAGACATGCATCATTCCAAGAACTAGGTCCATATTCCATCTCCTGCACTTTCCCACTTAGATATCCCATCAAACAGCATCTAAACTCAGTACATCCAACACTGAACTCCATCTTTCCCCTAAACCTGCTCTCATCCCAGTATCGCTTCTCTCTTGACAAATAATCCATTATGTCACGTTGTCACTGGGAAAGAAACCTGGGAGATGTTTGGGACTCCTCCCTCAGCTCCCATGTCTAGGGCCTGCCCATTTTTAATCTTTAATATTTCCCAATTCCCCCAATGGTCACCAACTTAGCTCAACCCTCTCTATGTCTCACTTGAACCTTTTTAAAATACAACATCACCCATCCCAACATCCTTTCTCTATATTGTAGACCGGTTATTTCCTTAACAACAAAATTTTCCCTGCTCCCCACCACCTATGGGATTAAAAATACTTAAATTCTTACAACTGAGATGGAAAAAGGAACAATATGATGTAAAAATAAACTATTATATTAAAATTAAAAAATACTTGAATTCCTTAATACCTTCATAATCCAAGACCCTTCATAATCTTTCATGACACATGCCAATATCCAGCCACAGCACCTACTATCCACCTCTCAAAATTACTCTCCTCTACACTGAAAATGGAGGTCCCTGAATTCACTCACAGTTATTATGCTTCCTGGAACAAGGAGGAGTGACAGGAAGTGAAGGGACTTGTCATAGCCCCTACTGTCCCCTAAACAATATAACCCTTGTCCTACTAATGCAATTGTGGTTCAGGACCATGGAGAGCATCATTTGGGCCATGTCCCCATCCCCTATCCTTGTAGTCATGTTCTGCCTATACTATGTACTCAGCTCACTCCTCCAACTAGTCATTGAAAAACCCAAAACAGATATGACTTCCTTCAGGAAACTCCCCTGACCTACCTCAACAAGTATCATTCCCTCTTCTGGGCTACTTGAGTGACTTGTGTATCCATCCATCACACCAAATTTGCGCTGATTATGTTTGTACATGAGTCCAATCCCCAAACATCCACCCACAACAAACCTCAAGGGCCCAGACCCTGTCTGATTCACCTCCACAGCCCAGTACAGAGGAGGTGCTGAGACAATGTTTGTTGATTGAATGAGTAAATGACATTTAGCAGGTGCTTAGGAAGTGTCTGTTGATCTGCATTATGTGTCTAATTGCTCTGAGTGACTCAGAAACCAGTCAGATTCCTCTCTTGGCCCCTCTGGAAAAGGCTTTTTCTCTCTCATTGGCTCCACCCTTCATTAGCTTCCACGTGCCATTTGCCTCCACCTTTGATTAACTTCCACACAGGTCACCACTCACTATGGAGAGAAGGCACCTCCTCTGAGCTCTTGCGATTGCCAAACTGGGGTTTTGTTGGAATCCCACCATCCCCCAGCCTGGGCCTGCTCATGAGTTTTGCTCAGAACACTTCGTCTCTGCCTCTCTCCTGCTCAGAACAGATGGCTCTGGGTCCCCACTAACACAGAAGATCCTGTTCTGTCATTTGAACATTTTTAACACTTTCTAAATTATAGAAGCTTCCATCTCCTTTGATCATGGACTCAGACTGTCAGAAATGAAGAATCTCCATCCTGTCAAGAGGCTGCCTCTGAGAAGTTGGTCAGTGATCTGCCTGAGATCATTGTAATAGATACTGTCTTTGTTTTTACTTCTGTCTTTTTCTTCTTTCATTTCTGTTTTGTTTTGATGCTCTGAGTCTATCCTCCTTAACAACACTTTGGCTTCCTAGTAAAATCAAGTAAATCAAGTCATGGGCATAGTATTCAAATGGACTCTCTCTTTTTTAAAAAAAATAATATAATAGTTTATTTTTACATCATTTTGTGCATTTTTTTTTTCATCTCAGTTGTAATCTCGATGGGCTTCCCATCACCAAATCACCCATGTGCCATCACCATAGTCCTCAACTGGACTCTCTTACCCAGGGGTATAAGCCTTGAATAGGGTGGCAAAAGAATAGGAAGAAAATATTTGGCATTCTAGCAGACTCCTAAATAAAATGGTACAGGAGTCCTGATTTCTGAATCCTTCCTTATCTTCCCTTCACGTTTTTGTGATCCCCGATATGTTTCCACCCCCAAATCCTTTTCTTAAGGATTGAGCACATGCAGGTACACACCTCCCTGTGCTGGGAAGAAGCATGACTCCAGAAACCTCTGGCTGCCTCCTGTCTGCTTTGTCTTTAAGAGCTGCACTAAGCCCCTATAGGCCCACCCAATCATGAAGGAAAGACGAACACTTCAGGGACTGAAACAGGACAATGTCTGGTGTTGCAGGAGAAAAAGAGCCAGGGTTGGGGGTGATCATTATGATGCCCGTGCTCCACCCTCCGAGCCTGAAGTTAGAGCAGAAGCACTTTTAACAATACCCCCATAAACACACCCTCCCATGCTCACCCACCCACACAGCGGTGAGCATGCGCAGGCACACCTGCCTGCCATGACACTTGGGAGCTGGAATGTGTCTGGAAGAGCGATTAGCACATTAAGCGAGCAGGGCAGGTTTGAGGGCCTCTTTCTGCTGAGCAGTGTTTGCCTCCATCAACAGTCCCAACAAACAAGTCCAGAGCTCCAGGGACTGGGGTTCCCCAACAAGTGCCCTCTCAGCTGGCCCAGGGTGTCCTGACTTCTCCTCGGCTCCAGCCTGAGAGGCTGGGCTCACAGATTTACACCTCTGCACTCAACCCAGTGAGGTCTGAGACAATGGCCCCAGGGGAGCCAGGGGGCAGGGTGGCTGAGCCTAGCTGGGACCTGGGGTGGCTGCACAGCAGACAATGGTCTCTCACCTCCAGAACCCACCAGCTCCAGGGCACCTGCTTCAAAGCATTTTGTCTAGACAAGCTCTAAGACATACTATAACAGGGTGGTCCTTAGGAAAAAGGGAAGTTCCAGGTTCCCTGCCCCACCCATAAGGAGGGTGGAGCTGAGCAGAGAAAAAGGAGAAAAGAGAAGGAAATGAAGCAGGATGGAGAGCCACATGGAGCAGCAAGCATGTGAGGAAGAAACCGTGCTTGTTTCCTGACCCTGGTCTGGTTAAGGCAGATGTGCGTGAGATACCTGTAGGGAGGTGACTATGGCAGTGTTTATATTGATTTTGATTTTGCTCTTTTCCTCCCAGATTTGTCTGGCCATTTCTGACCCTTTTCCATGGGTCCCGGCCAGAAGGTGCTTTAGTCTTGTGGCAGGCTTTCAGGCCTTGCTTTGGGCCAATCCCTTTGGGTTGACTTTTGCCCACGAGGGGATGGGTAACTTCAGGTGTTTGATTTAGAAGTTATATTCTTTGTGTTCCGTATTGCAGACTCACTGTATTAAAGTCCCTTTTCATTAAAGCTTTATATGTTTTGTCTTGTTGCGGCGGATGGCAGAACCCACTTAGAGCAGGCAGGTTTGGGGGCTTCAGGTATGTCCCTCTCTACCTGCCCTGTAACAGATTTGCTCTCCTATAACAATACCACCCTGCTCTGCATAGCAACCCAAGCTCTAGAATGTTCTCGAGTCAGAAGAATTGATCCCAGATTACCAGATTAAAACCCAGCTCCTCAACGGGCAATTGAAGTTGCCGGGGTCCCACCAACCGCCCCTCGCCATCAACACCCACAGCCCCTCCTCTCCTGCCACACCACACCCTTCCTGATTCATGGCATACCTTTTGCTCCCCTCCCCCCTCCTCATCTTTGCCTGTCCTGTTCTCTCCACTGGGAATTCCTTCCCTGCCCCCACCCACCCTCACCTGCCGTTACCAGCTCCTAGGCCACCTCCCCAAAGGCTTCTGAGGAATGCAATCTTTGCCTCTGCCCAGATGTATACCTCACTTGGCCTAGCTGCGGATGTCTGTCCTGTCTGGGTCTGTGAGGTCTAAGCAAGGCTGGTGTCAGATTCCCTGCATGCCACACACCCACAGATACTAATACATGTTTGTGGAACTGCCACGAATGAGGCCCCTGGTCTTTCTCCCCACCCTCCAGACTCTGGAGGAAGAGGGTGGCTGAAGTCTTGATACTGGGAGAGCCCTCACCCATTTTCTGGGAGCTGAGCCTCACTCAGGTCCTCCACAGGGCTGCTGGGAGGCAGGTCCAGTCCCTGGAGCTGCACTTGTAAGGGCCCAGACACAGTCTCTGAGAATCACGTGAGGGCAGGGCTGGGAAAACCACACTCAACACACCTCTTGCAAACAGTTAGAGGGTCTACAGCTCGGAGAGGTCAGGAAGTGACCCAAATCACCCAGCCAGTGACCGCTGAGGAGGGCTGGGGCATGCCTGCTCCCACAGACTGGCTTCCTCTTCTCAGGGAAAATCAGGTATCTTCACAGATCCGTTTCCTTGTAACTTCACAGACATTTTATTTCATGAACTCCAAGGGCAAGTCATGGAGGGGCTGGTCCACTCTCTGAGGCCAGCTCCAGGGCAGGGCTGTGGTGGGCAGTAAAGGGCAGGCCTGGGCTGGGCTGGGCTGGAAAGGCCAGCTCCTGGAGATGGTCCCATCCAACACTGAGGGGCAGGGATGGAGCAAGCAAGGTCAGGTGATGTGCGTGAGTCTGGATCATTGCTCGGCCCACAGCTGCTAGGAGGCAGGCACAGCATGGCACAGTAGAGGTGGTGATCAGCGAGTGAACAGTGATCTCCTGGCCAGGCACCAGGGAGAGGGGGAGACAAGCTCTTGCTCATAGGCGGAAAGAACATGCCTCCCCACTGCTGCCCGCCTGGAAGCTGCTGATCTCCTGCTGGGCCTGCTGCGCCCAGCTGCTCTGCAACCAGTGGCAAGTGTGAACCCCACAGAGCCAGCCCTCCCCATGGACTGTGCTGGGGTCAAAGTGTGGGCATGGAGGTGGGGGCAGTGGTACAGAGCAGGGCACAGCTGGCACTCATGTCAGCCAGTGTGGACCCAGAGTGGTTCAGGGCAGCTGCATCTGAACGGGCTTGGGTGGCTCCCCAGATGAGGCCACACCTCCGGGCCAGCACCTGCATAGCACCTATCTCTAAGGCGACTGGCTTAGCCCACAGCTTTTGCTCAAGGATAAATTTATGCAGGGGGTATTCATAAACCTGCAGAGTGGGCAAGCTGAGCCAGAGTGTCAGATCCAGAGTGGGGAACACCCAGTGACCCATGCTGAGCTGCCATCTCAGTTTTCACACTTCAGGGGAGGCCTATATCCTTGGCCTGGACTGTCTACCTTTTCCTCCCCTGCTCCCACTCCCAGCAGAGGCATCACGAGGCTATAAATAATGTAATTGTCTAAAGGCCTGAAATCCATGACTTTGTATTGACCATGCTTTAATTGGGGCCCACCAGCCGCCAGGCTGAGGACCCCAGCCCGGAGCAGCCCCGTGTGGGGTGCAGGCGCAGGCCCAGGCCTGGGCCTCCGGTGAGGAGGCTGACGGCTCAATTCCCAGCTCAGCCAGCAGGCCCTGGCAGCTCTCTAGCTGGGAGTGAAAGTGGCAGATGCATCTCTGCCGGGCCCCTGAGCCACTGCCAGAAGCGGGCAGCAGCACTGACAGCGTGGACAACAACTAGAGGCGGAGCAGGCACAGCGAGTGGACCTCCTCGTGCAGGGCAGGGGTCTCAGGAGTTCTCTGTGAAGGCACCCGTGCCAGCGAGCAAGCCTTGGTGCTCCATGTCCTCGCTGGCCAAGACCCCTGTGGGACGAAAACAGCTCAGCGAGCCAAAAAGGAGCCAAAAGGTGTCTGGGACCAGACCCGGGCCTAGTCTGCCAGGAAATCCTCTAGGTTCATTTTCAAGGTAAATTCCTTTCTCCCACCTTCAGTGTCACCCCCATGGTCTTAGCTCTACTGCTCCTCTCCTAGGTGGTCACAGAAACTCCTATCACCCCTCTGCTTCGGTGCTGAACCCCTGCTGTCTATCTCAACATAGCATCCAAGTGGTGCTCTTACAGCACGAAGCAGGAGCCTCTGGGCTCAACCCCTGGAAACCCTACAGCAGCTCCAACAAGGGTCCCCCAGGCGCCCATGCTGTGGCCCATTATTGCCGGGGTCCCTGAGCTTACCCCTTGCTCCTCCTCCTTACACACTGGCTTCCTTGCTGGTACTTAAACACATCAAGTATGTCCCTACCTCAGGACCTTTGCACTCGCTGTTCCCTTTACCAGGCGACCATCCCCCAAACAGCTCCATGACTCACTCCCTCACCTCTTCCAAATATGCTCCGAAGTCACCCATGCAGAAACCTCCCTGATTACCCTTTCAAAACCTACAAGACCCCACCTAACCTTCTCTAGCCCCTTTCCTGCTTTGAGTCTCATTATACCACTTATCACCTCAAACACACTCAATCTTTTGTTTTTTTCTGTTTCTCATCTGTCTCCACCGTGACTGGCTCAGTGAGGCTTGGGTTTGGTGTTTATTCCACCACATTC